AGGTCCCTCGCGAGCCACAACGTTGACATCAGCAAACCGCTCACCCACACGACACCATTCACGCTGTCTGCCATCTGCCCTGTACAGTGAAAACCGGGATTCATCCGTGAAGAGAACACCTCTCCAAAGTGCCAGACGCCATCGAATGTGAGCATTTGCCCACTCAAGTCGGTCAGGGCTCAGTTCTTGGACCACTTCTCTTATCTGTCTACATGGCATCATTAGGTTCTGTCATTCAGAAACATGACTTTTCATACCACTGCTATGCTGAAGACACTCAACTCTACCTTTCATTCCATCCTGATGATCCGACGATAGCTGCTCGCATAAAATTCAAGGCATTGATGTTTGCCTACATAATCACCACTGGCTCTGCCCCTTTACCTAAATTAATTACTTCAGACTTATGTGCCCTCTAGTAGCTTGCGTTCTGCAAGTGAACGTCGCTTTATTGTGCCATCCCAAAGAAGCACAAAATCACTTTTATGGACTTTTAAATTAAATGTTCCCTCCTGGCGGAATGACCTGCCCAACTCAATCCGAGCAGTTGAGTCCTTCAAGAATCGGCTAAAAACACATCTCTTCCATTTTTATTTCACCCTCTAACTCTAGCACTCTCTATTCTAATTATATTCTTAAAAAAAAAAACACTTGTCCCTTTTAGACTTGCACTCTATTCATTTGCTGCTTGTTTTCTTTAAAAAAAAAACTAACACTTGCTTTCTACTCTTTTTGTATTCTATCTGTTTTCTTTTTATTTATTATATTATTTAAAAAAAAAAAACCTTGCTACGTATACTGCGTTAAGCTAACTGAGACTTGTTATAGCACTTGTATATTATTGCTCTTTTGTTGATTTTGATTGCTTCCATTGTCCTCATTTGTAAGTCGCTTTGGATAAAAGCGTCTGCTAAATGACTAAATGTAAATGTACATGTAAATGTCAACTATAACTTTAATGCTTATTTAAACATTACTGGTAGTTGTCAATAGGCTATTACCATCGTCATGATGCCGCCTTTTTTTTTTACAGGTCATTTTTATCTGCACATTCCACAGAGACAAAACTTAACTAAACTTGAAAAACATTTATGGGGAATAATAAAGGGTGAATAATAAATCAGTAAGAGTGACTGACTCAAAATAAAGTATCAATTTATCAAAGAACAAACACAATAAAGGGTTTCTTGGGAAATAACATGAAAAGCCACGTAGGACCATGCAAGTAGTGTAGGTATTTAATAGAAACCAAGAAGCAAAATGTAAACAGCTGCCAAATCATTGTCTTCAACAATCACAAAAAAGGCAAATATTGCATCATAACAAAAATGTTGCCAAACCTGTGAGAGCACTGAAAATTTTCTACACAGCATGTTGTTGGATAGGGCTTGATCTCTGAGAGGTTTAGTGGTTCAGTCTTACTATGAAGTTGACATGGGTTTGAGCAGTAACAGACTCTGTTCTCAGGCCGGAACTGAAGGCTCTATAATAGCCGAGACAAAAAGGGAAAAAAGAGGGCTTAAGCGTCATGGTATATGGTACCAATAACACATAAACAAATATGAATGAAACAGAAACATGCTGGGAAACTATGGTGTCTACTTACATGAAAGCGCTGCATTGGTTTCCCCTGACAGCCACCTGTGTCAAAAGAAGGTTATAAAGGTCAGATCAAAGGTATGACCCCTGAGGGACACTCTTTAAAAAGTAATAATGTCGGGCTGGCGCCCATTATCACGTTCTAGTAGCATTCCCGGTCCATTTTTATAGGGTGACAGTGGGCCT